GCCAAAGGCCTTTATCAATGTAAGGAGGCCTTTGACAGATTCTCTTGGGTTTTCGAGGTACACCATCATATCATCTGCATAGAGAGATAACTTGACTGCCTCTTTTCCTATTTGAATACCTCTGATTGCCTCCTCTTCTCTGATTGCTCTAGCCAGGACTTCCAATACTATGTTGAACAGGAGGGGAGAGAGTGGGCATCCTTGTCTAGTTCCAGTTTTCAGGGGAATTGGTTCCAATTTTTGTCCATTTAGGAGTATGCTGGCTGTGGGTTTGGGTTGTTATTTTTAAATGAACTGATAAATTTTCCAATTTTTAAAAATGCTTTAAAATGTATAGTTTTGATTTCTAATACAGTAAATATGGTACATATCAGCTGCATAAATAAAGCTCTTGGGAGGCAACAGTAGTTTTTAGGAGTGTGGAAGGTCCTAAGATCAGAAGTTTGGAAACCAAACTGCTGCTTTGAAGCCCGGTATGCTCTTGGGCCCCAAAGGCGGAAGTCAATACTTCTTGTGTTTTGAAATGTGAGCTATAAATAAAATACTTTGAATAAAGGCAAAGGGCCTTTTCTGGTGGATTTTGAACACAGAGTCTTCTGAGGCCCCAGGCTCAGATTTCCTGAGATGAACCAGGAGAGCTTTCTGAACGGTAGATGAGACTCGATGAGGAGGAGAGGGCCACGCCGGGGATGTGGGCACCGAGGGCAGCCAGGTCTGCCGGGGCCGTGCCTGGGGATTCCAGAACATACCGGGTGCTCCTGGCTGCTTCAGTCCAGGATAGCCGGACTCCCAGCAGGGACACCTGGTGGTACTTCCTGGGACAGGATGGTGAGAGTGAACAAGTATGGGAAAAGGGTGTCCAGTGATCGAATGGGAGAAAGATTGAAGAAAGACCATCAGTCAGGTATTGCCAGCAGTGCCGACATGGCCGAATCTGTATTTAATTCAAGTAATTACTGCACTTTAAATAAAATGTGCACTTTTGCTTGACTGCATACATGTTTTTGTACTGATGTCCCAAGTAACGCCTATAAATCTTAGTTAAAATTTCTGACTGTTTCTCTACTAAGAACAATTGCTTTTGCAATGATGCTTTAAAATCGCCATATTTAGGTCTGTTAGATACTTAACGTGCTTCCAACCCCAGGTGTCCACTGAATTTAAAGTCTAACATCACCCTTTTAAATTTGCGGATTCCATTTGCCTGCAGTTACCCATATGCCCAGGTCATTGCAAGTAGTTATGTAGAAGCAGGACTCCAAATCCCTGACCTCTTAGAGGGGAAAACAACCATCATTTTGCCCCCCAAGGTGTGCTACCGCGTCCCCTGCGGGACCAGAGAGACAGCGAGGAGTTAACTGCAAGGACAGCATCCCGCCCCTCGGTGGCAGGGTTGTCCCGTAGACGGCCACACACGGTTGAGTGGTGCTTTGCTGAGAATGGGGTTGCAGTCATTTTGCTTGACAGTGGACTGATCTTTGGGTAGAAAAAATGGTATAATAAGTGACGTCGGATACTAAAACCTCTGACTAGAAAAGCTGTTTCCCCCTCCCCCATAGGAGCGGCACATGCTGGTTCACGTGCGAATCCACACTGGAGAGAAGCCGTTCGCCTGCCTCTCCTGCAATAAGTGTTTTCGGCAGAAGCAGCTTCTAAACGTTCACTTCAAGAAATATCATGATTCAAATTTCATCCCAACTGTTTACAAATGCCCCAAGTGTGGCAAAGATTTCTCCCGCTGGGTAAGCTTACTTAAGTCACAGTAAATCATCTGTGGAAGGGTCCCTCTGTCTTGGAAGAACAGTGTCACGCCAGGAGAGTTTAACTTGATTGTAGAAACCCTTCAGGACTTTAGGTAGCGTGTGTCATGCCTGACGAAAATGGTTATTAGTTTTTGGAGTCACAGAATTCTTGAAGAATCCTTTGAAAATGTGATCTTCCTTCCCCCTAAAAAAGGACAGTCATACACACAAAATTCTGCAAATGGTTTTAGGGAGTTCTCTGACTCCCTGAATCTTCCCAGCTCTTACTATAGTGTTTTAAAATTATTCTTGTGAGCTGGATTTCGGCTCCTTCATGGAGAGTGCAATTTTCACACATTTCGTAGGTGTTGTTAGAACAGTGCTGTTGGCGCCTATCGTCCCGTGACTCTGTAGTTCAAGGCTGCAGTGAGCTACGATCCCACCACTGCACTCCAGCCTGGGGGGCAGAGTGAGACCCTGTCTCGAAAGAAAGGAAGAGAAGGAGGGAAGGAAGAAGAAGAGGAGGGAGGGGAAAAGGAGGGGAGAGGAGGGAAAGAGAAAAGAAACAGAATAGTGAGGTTGGTACTGGGTTAAATCATAGATTTACTCTGTTTTATTCTTGTTGTGTTAGATGTCTATTCCTATGCCACAGATTACCTCAAAACTGAGTAGCTTAAAACAACAGTTAGCATCTCACAGATTCTGTGGGTCAGAACATTGGGAGTGACTTAGCTGAGTTATCCTGGCCTGGGGTTTGTCATGAAGTTATGATCAAAATGTCAACTGGGCTGCATCACCTGAAGGCTAGACTGGGGCCGGAGTTTCCATTTTGATGACTCCCTCCCTTCCTTTCCACATGCCCTCAAGAGTTCTCGTGACCAGAGCAAGTGAGAGAGAACCAGAAGGGAGCATAAAGTGGCTCAGCATGAGTTCTCTTCACTAGAAATGAAACAATGAGCCCAGCCCACACCTAGGTGTGAGGAATGCAGTCCCCTTTGAAGGGAAGAGCATCAGAGAACTGGTAGACACTTTAAAGCCACCACAGGGGCTCACCAGGTTCCTGGGCCATGTATGTGCCAGCACAACTTTATAAATAAAGTTTTGAGTTTTCTGAAGTTGACTATTTCAACAGTTGAGGGGAAATGTTATTTTTTCTCTTAAAATATTATTAAAATGTTATTTTTTCTCTTAAAATGTTATTTTTTCTCTTAAAATAGGCTGGTTGTGTCTTCTGAGTGGAATGTTAACCTTTAGTTCAGAAATTCCAATAAAAGTGATGGCCATGGCCCCACTCATACTGAGTTAAGAGGAGCTTAGTGTGAGCTCCTCACACTAAGTGTGAGGAGCAGTGACTCAGCCTGTAATCTTGGAACTTTGGGAGGCCAAGGCAAGTGGATTGCCTGAGCCCACGGGTTCAGACTAGCCAGGGCAACTTGGCGAGACCTCATCGCTACAAAAAAAATTTTTTTTTTTAATTAGCCGAGCGTGGTACTGCACAACTATAGTTCCGGCTACTTGGAAGGCTAAGGCAGAAGGATCGCTGGAGCCCGGCAGGTCGATGCTGGGGTGGCCATGAGTGTGCCACTGTACTCCAGCCTGGGCAACAGAGTGAGACTCCAACTCAAAAGAAAAGAAAGAGAGTGTGAGGAGTTACAGAGTAGAAACTGCCCTCTGGTGTGAGAAATAAGAATGCAGAGAAATGAACAAGTCAGCCTCAGGCCATCCCTCAGAAGGGGCAATCAGAAGTTTAGGAACTTTTCTTATCTTCAAGAAAGCATATTTGGACTTGTATCTAGAGCATCTAGGGGACTCTTATAACTCAGTGGCAAACAGACAAATCCCCAGCTAAAAATAGGCAAAGTAACTAAACAGACATTTCTCTAAAGAAAACCTATAAATTGCCAATAAACACACAGAGAGATGCCCAGCATCATTAATTGCTAGGGAAATGCAAGTCAAAACCGCAGTGAGATGCCATCAGGATCAGCCATCAGGATGACCATAACCAAAAGAGACGATAACAAGTGTTGGCAATGATGTGGGAAAGTTGACGTCCTCATGCATTGTGGGTGGGATTATAAGATGGCGACGTCACCTTGGAAAATCGTCTGGCAGTTTCTCAAAAAGTTAACATGGCGTTATCACATGGCCCAGCAATTCCAATCCTAGATATGCGCCCAGAAGAATTGAAAGTACCTGGGTATGCAAAACCTGCATGCATGTTCACAGCAGGGTTATTCACAACAGCCAGGGAATGGAGACAACCTGCATACTCGTCACAAATGAATGCGTGAATACACATAGGCCACCCCATCTCATAGAAGGTTCTTCGGCCACACAACCGTGAGGTCCCAAGATGGCCTGCTAAGCCCTGGCAGATGCCTGACCCAGATGGCCACATACTGGATTACTCAGTTTAGGCGAAATGTCCAGAACAGGCTAATTCATGAAGACAGAAATAGATCAGGCTGGCAGAGGTAGCCCCAGTCTAGCCTTCAGGGGGTTGGCTGATGGGGACGGGGCTTCTTTTGGGGCGGTGACATGTTCTCAAAGCTGTTGTGATGGTTACATAACTCTGATTAAAAAAAGACACTGAGTTAGACACTTTAAATGGATGGATTCACATGTTAAGGCACATGACTTATATCTTAATAAAGAGGTTTTTAAAAATAAGCCGGGCTCGGTGGCTCAGCCTGTAATCCCGCGCCTTTGGGAGACTGAGGTGAGTGGATTG